TGCAACAGTTGGTGGATTCACAGGTGCTGGACTGTTAGCTGGTGGTTGTGACATCCTGTGGGAGTTGAATCCGCAACAGCAGATCTGGGCCATGAATTCTTCTCTTCTCCTCCTGGACCTCAGCTGGTCCCTCTCTATTTTGTTCTCCTTCTTCTGGCGGAGGTCGCCGGGGAGCAGATGGCTCAACCCTTACCATACCCACCGACGGGAGGCATTCGGTTGACTGTCCAGCAGGATCAGTCCCCCGGCTGTCACCGTCTTGTTCATCTTTTGGTGGAGGTCGCCGGGAGCAGACAGCTCGACCCTTACCATACCCACCGACGGGAGGCATTCGGTTGACTGTCCAGCAGGATCAGTCCCCCGGCTCTCACCGTCTTGTTCATTCAGCTCCTTTGTTTCTGGTGGAGGTCGCCGGGGAGCAGGTGGCTCAACCCTTACCATACCCACCGACGGGAGGCATTCGGTTGACTGTCCAGCTGGATCAGTCCCCCGGCTCTCGATTCCCCTTGCTTGGAATAACTTGAAATAATGCTGACGAAACCAGGAAGGTAAGCACAAAAGTAGAAGTTCCATTGTTTGAAATCACGTGAAATAATGCCAGCGAAAACTTGAAAAGTAAGCTCAAAGGTAGAAGTTTTACATCTGTTCAGATGTTTCACACACACGCCCCGCTGCCGCGAGGCCATTTTGTGCAACGACTGCACGGGATGTCGTTAAGCTCTTAGTTCCCTGAGGCAGGATATAGCCTATAGCAATGAAATCGAGGTGCTGGTGGAAACCGATGACCGGACCAAGTGCCCTGCGTCATGGATGGAATTGGATTCATCGTTCTTCCCATCATATAAGGTCCAGACAGGTTCGTTGCCCACCCCTTGAATAATGCCTGCGAAATCTTGAAAAGTAAGCTCAAAGGTAAAAGTTTTACATCTGTTCAGATGTTTCACACACACGCCCCGCTGCCACGAGGCCATTTTGTGCAGCGACTGCACGGGATGTCGCTAAGCTTTTATAGGTTCCCTGAGGCAGGATATAGCAATGAAATCGAGGTGCTGGTGGAAACCGATGACCGGACCAAGTGCCCTGCGTCATGGATGGAATTGGATTTATCGTTCTTCCCATCATATAAGGTCCAGACTGGTTCGTTGCCCACTGAGGTCGAAACTGAGGGCGTGGCATGTTCTGTGAATGCAAGATCGCTGCTTGCATAGGCCCACACCATCGATTCAGGGACGTTGGGAAATCGTCCAGGAAACATGGCGACAGTGTCAGGTTAAGTAAACTAGTTAAGAAAACATTCACATGATGCATCCACATATGGCATGCAAGATTCGTGATAAGGCTCAAAGGCCCTCGGCTTTCATTTCACAACCCTGTAAACGGCTTACGTCGTCAACCCCTGAATTACGTGCACAATTGAACCTCACCAACGACCATAAAAAGAAAGAAAGACCACACCTAAAGCATGTCCTATTGCCTGATTTTTCATGAAAGAAAAGGTGAAGCCAGGCACAGCGGCACGTTGTTCAACTAAACGACATTCGACAGGGTGAAAACCGAAAATTGCCATCTGTTCACTTTACTTAAACGAATTACTAATTCAAAAGTGTAAATTCAGACAAAAGCAAAGGTGATTCCAGGCACAGCGGCATGCTGTTCAACCAAAGGACAGTCGACAGGGTGAAAAACGAAAAATGGCCAGCTGTTTCACGTTGCTTAGACGAATTACTAATTCAAAAGTGTAAACTCAGAGGTCATTTCGAAGTGTCAAGTCTTAGCTTGGAAAAGCTTTCCCCGAAGGGTTCATGCCACCTTGACAGAATCCAGCATGAATCACACACTTGCTCAGAAACATCCTTGCGAATTCTGATGTGGAATGCATCTTACGTGCAAAAACACTCCAATTAAACCTGACAGGAGCCATTGAATGATCAGAAGTGAGAAACCTCAGGTTGAAGTTTGGTTGGCACTTGACAGTGCAGTTAAACAACAACAGAAAACACAGTATGACGTGCCCCCCAGCTGCGACTTGAATGCGCCCAGGAGCGACACTGCAGGTACAGAAGTTTGCGTCCAAACTTCCATCCAGTCGATTTCCATAGCTTCGTTGGCGTGACTAGGAAATCAACCGTCACGCCCCCTGCAATTGAAAAGGAGATTGGATAAACTGGTAAAATACTCAAAACTGGTTCATTGTAATGGCAAAGAAACTGATAAGGAAAAGCAATTCCGCCAATCAAGGTAGAAGTTTTACATCTGTTCAGATGGTTCACACACACACTCAAAACATCTCAAAAAGAACTGCCAAGTTCGACAATCACTGGCTAGTTGGACTTGATTCGACTTGATTCAGTGGGATTGGAGAACCAAATGTTTCAGCCAAGCTGAGAACCTGGCCTGTCATTCAAAGATGAACAAAAAGTATCGAAACGTATTACATTACTAGATATTACAAGATATTTCAAGATATTATAGTCTGCAGAATGTCAAACATCAGCAGAATTTAGACTTGGACTCGAAAGTCACTGCGCAACTAAGCTCCCCGACAGCATGATGTAATGGTATTGCTATGTTCCGAGGTGGCTGCCTCTACATAAGTTCTCAAGGTTCAGTTCAGGTCCTACCAACTTAGTAACTTGACATCACCTTGCCACATCTTGCCACCACATCACCAAAGATCACCTTGCCGCTGCTTGTGGGGCGAAAGCCTCAGAGTTAGAAAGCTCTGAAGCAATGTGGTCTACCTTCAGTGTTGGAGGTTCGACTCCTTGATTTCGTTGTTGGATGTTGTTTTAACATAACATATGTAAACTGGAAAGTTAGAACTATAGGTGTGCAGACTTAAATATTCAGAACATCAGAAAACACTGATGGCAAAGCGTTTCTGGTACAGTAGTCATCTCGTTCAGCACTGTGAACAAATGTGGCTGTCAGTCAAAACCACAGTCTCCTTCAACTCTCTCTGGAATTCATCAGACTTCTTCATGCATACTTCTTCCCATGATCCAACAGCACCTCTGCCTGTTCCATCCGCCACCAACCTACCATGACCGTTGCAGTAGGACCCCAGCGTTTCCGCGCTTCATCATAGGATTCTCGCACTCCACCCTCAGAGGCCAATGAAACTCCGTCAAGGGGCTTATGGCAAATATGCATAGTCACATTTCCACAACTGACCAACAAACAACAGGAGATGATCAAGAACGCCAGATCGAGAAACGATGATTTCATGCAACGGTGCAAGTTGCAACACTGGACAGCTCCGTTCAGATATCTGGAAACTTTTGCCCGAAGTGAATGCAACAGCAAGGACTGAAAAGACTTTGGTACAGGGAACCGACAATGACCCGACAATGTCACGCCTAAGTCACTCCTTTTGCTTTCCCTGTTTGTGAACGCATCATCAAGAAGCCATGCCTAAGTCATGCCTTTTGGTCTTCCCCCATGCTGAACGCAAGCGTCAAAACAACCCTTCCTTTTATTTCTGATGTTTTTCCTCTCTGCCCTTGCGATTCAAGTTCTTGGTTTTGCCCACTTTCTTCCCCAAATTGGTTCACCTGTGTGGGGTTCTTACTCCTTTGAAAGGGTTGCATTCTTGGGCCGCATGAGGTTGCTTCTGTCTCCCGGTTTGCGTTCCTGGCATGCTCTCCCACTAAGCTGTGGGTGCTCTGAGCCGCCTGGTTATACACTTACTCGTCTCCCACTTGTCTCCGGCATCCACCGCCAGATTTTTCAACTGGCAAACAAGAATAGAAACTGTTTGCTCTGATATATCATATCCTTAATATGCCCGTGTGTATACTAAATAAATATGCGGTAACTACATTTAAATATACGGACTTAAAAAACACACATATATATACCCTCAGCTTCTAAACCCTAGAAATTTGTCGTGTATGAGTTGAAACCCTGGGTTTACACGTGATTCATATAGAAACCCTGGGTTTGTTATATAAACCCTGGGTTTTCCTAATATCGTTCCGAACCTGCCCTCCAGAGGTGTTTGATGGGGCCGGATCTTGGCTTACAGCTCCGCTATGGGGTTGCGGAGTGTGATCTGTAAATTTCTTATTGGTCTTTGTCTGTTGTTTCGTCCTTTGATATGGGATCAAATGACATTTGATAGTTTGAATGAACAAATTCTATAGATGGGAAGCATCATCCTGTGGATGGAAGATATACATATTTGCACAATCTGGTAATCTGGTGGTTAAAGATACCCTTCTAATGATCAAGATATTTCAGGTCATAAAACTGTTCCCTTTCCTTTCGAAACAGTAACGGGTGATAGGTGGACAATCCATCATGGGTACACATCGCATCACAAGACCAGGACCCAGAATATCCTTAAACAGAGATAGGATTCCATCTATCCTATAACATCAAGCATCAGCCGTAATGAGATGAAAACCTGAGAAGTATTTATATCACTCAGTTGAACATGTTTGCTTTTACCAATAATAATGGCATATCAAGAATGCACATGCACTACCATGCGTTCCACTACAGTGATAGGGTGTTTCTTCAACATACCACTGCATGAACCCGGATTGTTGCCGCAATGGTTTTTGCGCTGCGCGATTGATCATCGTCGGGGCTCCCCAGCGGTCAAGATCCTGGAGCCATCAGCACAAACACAAGAGATACTTAATTAGGAACGTTGGGGAGGGGCAGGTCCACAGGTCCATTTAGTTAGAACTTGAGATTTTCATTGTGTGCAACTGCGGCAAACATTGTCATGGTTTGTTTTAAACTTATTCACTTGATGTTCAATATAGAGCTATTTTGGCTCAGTACCTGTGAAAGGTTCTAGACCCCCCATGGCGAAAGCGGCGAAAGCCACTAGTGCCACTGATATAGAAGGCGTGCATGTTGAGTGGGATGAGGACACCGAGCTGCGGGAATTTCTAAGGGGTGGAGGCCGTATCTTGGAGTCTCCCTCATGCCAAGATATCTCGACATGCCTGAAAAACGCTTCAATGCTCAGACCAGTGCTTACACGTATGTCGGTTAGAGAAAAGCGAGAACTTCCTGGAATCGACCAAATCAAGGGTGAAATTGAGCTGTTGCTGCAAAAGAACAAACAAGGCCTAGAATGTGAGTACCTTGACATATCGAAGAGGGCCATGATACTCAAGAAGCTCCTGGGATTTATCAAGAACAAGGTCCGACGTCGAGAGGTATCCACAGCTACTGGGTTGTGATTACGCTCATTGTGATTTATGATGATTTATGTCAAGCAAATGTTTTTCTTCAGTTCATGGTTTTGGATTTTTGGTCGAAATGGTGGGAACTTGTTGTGTTGGGTAACATCGGTGGTGAGGTTCGCAGCTTTCAAAACCTTTGCCTTCTTCTGGACCCAATGCTCCAGGCTAGTTCGATATATATGTATCTATGTTTGCATGATCCAGCATGTTTTGCATTGTCTTCAACCCATTAGTGTTACCGCATTTTGACAGCTTGGCAGGCTGATGTGGATGAGACCAACCGAAGGGTTGAAGAGAGACTGAAGAAGCGGGGTCGAAAGGACAGATATAGTGAAAGGATGTTTTTGTTATTCGGATCAAACACTACCATGAAACACGATGTCAGCCAAGTTAAAACGTGTAAAGTTCTACGAGTTCATTCCTTTTCTTTGCCATTTAGGAGACGCGGGGTGATGATGAGGATGCCTGGGACTCATCTTCAGACTCTACATCATCTAGCTCAGAGGAAAACGAATTGAGGAGTGACGGGCATGTTGAGACACCTCCGGTTCAGGGCAAACCGGATGTGGTGGAAACCCCATTGGAAGCCGCCCCACCTGCCAATGAGACACCTGCAAAACTCCCACTCGTTGTTTCCAATGGGACTGGAGCACCTATGGGTACTACAACTCCAAGTTCTGTTCTTAGCCATTTTTTCTGAGCATGCATCAGCCCATGGACTGTGACTTTAAATTCTTCGGGTTTTATTTCCTTCCCTGTCAATCTTTTCAAAGGTGATTCTGATGAAGCTTTGCGAAAACAGAGAGAGGAGATCATGAAGAAGTTGCAACGGTCCCTAGGTCATATTCATGTGTGGGTTTCATTTGGGGATCGACAGCCAAGTGCAAGTATTTATTTCTCCACAGGCTCCGACATGTTTAGATTCTGAGTGATTTCGCTATACTTTTTGCAAAGGCTGAGGGAGAAAAAGAACATGGAGTCTACGGCAAAGTTGGCACCAGCCAAGGAAGTGGGAGGACTGCTTTTTGGCCATTTGAAGATTATATATGATATGTATGATATGTTTCGAGTTTTGGTCAATATACATCTGTTGCACGTGGCTTTCTATCTTATCCATTTACTTTTGTTTTTTGGCAGGACGTGCATGTTTGGACAATGCAGAAACCCAGCCACTGCACGATATCAGCACAGCACCCGTGCCATCGCCAGAGAGTGAAGCTGTTACAGCATCCCCAGATTTGTCTTCATCTCAAAGACGTGCACACTATCAGAACATCAAAGGAATGGGTGAGGAGACCGTTGAATATGGGGCCAGTGGTACCACATCCAGCGCAATGACAGGAAAAGCTGAGTCCGAGAAGAAGGTAAACACCTCGAAGCCTGGCATGGAGAAGGAGAATTTCACGGATGCTGAGGATGAGGTCATGAGTGATTTGGGAAGGTTAACCGGGATGAGTTTGACAAAGAAATGACAATTGAACATGTATGAATGTGACGCATTGTTTTTGTTTGACTCAACCTACTGTTTTGTTGGGGCCACATTTTTTCACTCCCATCATGTTGCCTACACTTTGTTTCTGCAGGCTGGTGACGACTATGTTGGACGACAGGATCAACTCAATCGCCGAGCTGCTAACGGGAGGGGTCGAGGAAAGGGAAGAGGCAGGGGAAGAGGTGCAGGTCACACAGACCAGCATGACAAGCCAACTTGCGATGATCCAAAGTCTGTGGAGGAAAGCAAAGATGGTCATTCCAAAAAAAAAAGAAAAATTGCTACACCCCAGGCCAGCAAGGCCAGTTATGAAGAGTTTTGGACTGAGGAGATGTGGGAGGAATGGAACAAGTGGAAAGGAGGAGACCAGTGGAATGAGGAATGGAACGACGACGACTGGGGGGTGGACTGGGGACAGCCAGGGCAAGCTTTTGATAGGTATGCCGTTCTAGATGGACAGGTTTCCCTCAGCAAGATGAAGGAAGGCAATTCTGAGCAGGCTTCAACCCAGGCAAACAAGAAGAAACATGGCAATGACTCGAAGAAGATTTCAGAAAAGGCTGCAAAAAAAAGCAAACCTACTCCCGAAACCGAAGCCAATGATGACAGTGGTGACACAGCTGATGATGATGATGATGAGGTACCCCCCATTGATGAAAAGCAGCAAGTCAATGACCTTGCAAAGTACCTGAGAGAATGCACTCCCAAAGAGAAAAACATCAAAGGAGATGGACAGCTCACGGAAGACATGAAAGATTCTTTCAAAAAGAATTTTGCCCCCACGAGTGAGTGCAGGTTTGCATACTATTGGAAACGTCCAGCGGTTGGTGTGTTCCTCAAGGCTGAAAAGAGAGATTTTGGTTGTTTTTCCGTGCCTGCTGAACATGGACCGTTTGGACTCCGACTATGTGCATCTTTGAAAGCGGCCGGGATGCTGGCCACTCGAAACAAAAAACAAAACATTTCAAGGTGAACAAATATCAGCATATACAGTCACGTACATGTTGCTTCACTAGTCTCTCTCAAAGTTGCTCTTTAGTTTTGTCATTGTGGCGGCCTGCGCGACTAGCCCAGGTGAACTATATCGAAATGGTTGCCCAAAAGCCCAGGGATGCAAAGGGTTGTCTTAGTGAGAACTCTGACATTCTGAGTATGAAGGAGGCGTTGAAGATTTCAGCGATCAAGGCTGTGAAGCGAGTTGTCAAGAAACCTTGACTCGATTTTCTAGTTTCAACATTGTCCTGTGCGGACAGTGACCTTTGAGCTTTCTTTGGGGCTGCCTAAGTTGAAATATCAACTTGGCCAGGCATAGTAGTTGCTTTGGGGATTCACAGCCATGCTGCATTCACCAGGACCTCATACGGACCCACTCCATTTGACTTCAAGACTCCAACGAACCATGGTGAAGAATTGAGATGTTCAAAGGTTCTCGTATTTGGTTACAAGATATGTTTCCATTGCGATTGGTCCAATGTGTGGGGTTTAGGATGCCTATGGCTTATGTGACAGCCAGCATTCGAACTCATCAACATAGCGCAGCAGCGTGTTGGACAGAGTGACAGCACATTTCAAACCGCAATTGAGCTACATTTTGAATAGATTTGACACGCATTGGTCTTAGATTTTTGCTCTTGGAAAGCTTATATCTGTCCTTTTGACACAATGGCTGCAAGTTGGTGGCAGGTCATACTGCGAGAAGGAAAATCATTCAGCGGCATCTGCATGCTCTCAACAAATCAGTTCGAAAAAAATAAAAGGAATCAGCGGGTTCCCCCAATGACTGGAAAGTCAACTGAAAGCCGATATTTATACTCACGATACTATTTATAGCATAATGAAATTGATACCAGCATATGATCTCGATATTTTAATGTATATAGATCTTGAGTCCTGTCTGCCAAGCATTCCACAATGAACCGGCAGCGACACCGGTCCTGAGGTCAGCAAAGATGAGAGGCCGCCACCGCAGGAACCTGTGGCAAGTGCGGCCAAATCATACAAAAGGTACGCCCCAGCATGTTTTGAAGTAGGGGGTGAACGGAAATGGCAAAAGCTCGGAGTGGTCAAATTACGCACCATGGGATTTTATATGTGAAAGTGTTGGGCTCAATTTTAGGCAGCCATGATCACTCCATGGAAAAGTCCATCCCAAAATGATGTCAACCAGTGGTATACCAGGCATATATACAGTATAGGATCACTTCAAGGATCTCTAATGTCAATGGATTCAGGTGCCAATTCGTCATGTTCAGTGTGCACGTTGCCTTTAGAGTTTTTCGGACACCTGACTCGTGGCCATTTGCTGACACCTTGCTGTACCCATGCTGGACATTGACGCCCTGGTTTGGCAGCTGAGCGCTCTCAAGTGCCCTCAGGACCTTTAGGGGCTGGATCTCGATTTTGAGGATATGATGTCAAGCATAAGACCCAATTTGATCCCAATTGTAGACGATGGAAATTAAAGAAATTTGAACAAGTTTGGTGGTTTCGTTCTGTCCCAGCCAATTCTTCTTTGAATGGTTTGTCAATATCCTTGATGTTATGGGGGTAGTTTCCCACCACATTCTTACCTGCTTTGACACCACCATGGCACCTCCAGGAATTTGTGGCGTGCATTCTGCTCATTCTGTGGACCTTCGATATCCAAGAGGACTGAACATCATGGTCTGAAACTTTGGAGTTTTGATTAAAGGTGTGGGTCTTGCTCTACTTCTTATTATATACAAATTGATTTGCTTGGTAAAGTTGTCATGTCTTGAAACAATCTGTTGAAGTATCATGGAATTGATGCTTGTCCAAACTCCTTTCCTGCTATGATCAAAACTTCTGGCACTAGAATTGCGCATACAGAACTCTGCAGGAATATGAGTACTATGAGTTCTTCGCTGGGGTGGGGAACCTCACCCGCCAGGCAAAGGCATGTGGATACCGTGCCCTAAGATTTGATATTCTCGACAACAAGAAGCCTCGCCCGGGGAGAAAGTCCAATTACATGGATTTAACTAGCACCTCAGGTTTCGCGTTTCTTTGGATGTGAATTCATTTTGTGAATTTGTGTGGCATTTTGAAGGTTGGTGTGCGCTGTAATTAACTTCAACTTTCATCATGTTTGACCAAGTCAAAGGGAATCTGAGATTCGTCAATGGTAATGGAGTTTGATACCTTAAAATAATGTTGTGTGACTTGTTTGCTGACCATCAAATGCATCTGGATGATTCACACATACAACTTAGGTTGGCAGTTGTGTGTCTGTTGCGGGCACGTTTGGGAGACTTCTCGGCCCACTTTGCACTCAAATGCAGCTCCCTATGCACTATGAATGTTGGCACATCGAAGAGATCTCCATGCTGCAGTGTTGGATTCCCAGAGTACCCATCTGTCTTCATGAGCAACAAGTTGACTGAAAGGAGATGAGCTTATAGTGTCACGACATGTTTGAACGAAACATCTTTGAACCATTTTCCAGTTCCATGGTTAACAGGTTATGTCAGTTTTCCCATTCCCCTGTAGATTCTGTAGATAACCCAAATCAAAGCCTCTGCTGACTCTGCTGATGCCATTTCTTTCCAGGACCTGCGCTCTCATCATTTTAGCGACAGTGCTAAGAGGAGCGTGGACGTTGGAGCAGCCGAATGGGAGTGTTTTGGAGTTCTATCCAACTTGGAGAACCGTGCTGAGGAATATATTTTCTGTTGGAGGCACTGGGGCTGTATCTCGTTGCACCCCTTCATATTTTACAACGTTTTTAAAGGCAATACCGCCACCAACCAAATACCAATCACCAATGACATATGTTTCATTGATAAGTATATATAAAATATTATAAAATCAATGAATTCTTCTCACATTTGCAGGGTTCCACAAAGAGTTGGTGAAGCTAGCCTACTCCCAAGGTAACCAAAGTGAAATGGTGGATGCGACACTATTCTGCACCTACACCAAAGCGTCACTATGGGTATGCAAATACGCCCGAGGTCTTGAGACTGGACAAGGGTAAGCTGAAGAAGGATCAGAAACAACATGATGGCAACAAGGTTAAAACAGCTGATGTTTACATGGATCGTCAGGGGAAGAAGCGCTACAAGGGTAACAAAAACCTTCGTCCCACAGAGAATCTCGTATGGGATATGTTGATCGTCTTTCATATGCATTCTGTTTTATGGATACATTTGAACTGGTATATCGGGATATGTAAATTTATAGTTGATGTTTTCCCAATCCCTTTTTGAAGTGGTAACCCCATTCTTTCTCAGCAATCTGTCTGTTCCCAAGGATCTACCCTATGCCATTTGCAAGACACCTCGTCGATATGCTCGAGGATATGAAGTCGACATGTCGAGGTGCTCCAGTAGTACCTGAACAGGTGCCGGATGCCCTGGTCACTTTCACTCAATGGCCCCAGGTCTGCCAAACTGACTGGCAGTTTGTTGATTTTGATGAGTTGTATACATACCTGCGAGGTAACAAAAATTTACGAATCCCACCAAAATGGCGGGGAGTGATCCCGAACCGTCTTGGGGAAACTCCATGAGGCATTCCAGGGATTCCAATGGCTCCAGATATGTACATTTATGCATTTCGGAATATTCAAACACCTGATATTGAGAAACACCGGGTTTCAGACTACATCCCAACATATTTTTTTGGGAAAAATATTCGTTTGAAAAAAAAAAGTTCGGGTCGGTGATTCAGAACTATAGCAACCCGTGATTAACCCGTGATTAACCCATGATTAACCCATGACAACCCGTGATTTGGGGATAAAACCCAGGGTTTTCAGATAAAACCCAGGGTTTCCCTAACCCGTGACCAACCCGTGACCAACCCGTGATTTACCCGTGACAACCCGTGATTTTATCATGGGTTTGAACCCTTCCGAAGCAGCTAGAAAAAATAGTATTTTTTTGTGGTTTTGACCTGGAAAATGGGGACCTAAGACGGTCAAATTCGAGAATGCTGCGAACCGTTCCAAAATTCAATGGTTTTGGATCTACCAGAACCGACTCTCAGAATAGACAAGCTTGGGGCGCGTGTCAGAAAGATACATGCTCGAAGCCAAACCAACTTGCAATCAGTACATCTCAAATCTATGAGCCAGTATATGCACAATATGGATATATGGATTCTTGTACTTCTACATTGATTCATTTTGCGAAGCCATAGTTTTTCAAGTCCTGGTCTGGCACTTCAGCCAGGGATGTCAGGATCGATGGAACCAGGTATGTCCAACCGATGGAGCTGTGCTACCCTACAAGATGGGCTGGATCATGTGAAAGCAAGTCTTTCTTGTGATGGTGAAATGCCGGATGAAGAAGAAGCGAAACTCTTAGCTGAGCTAGAGGACCATACAAACTTGCTATTTGAAAATGATGTTACAATGTTTGCAATCTATTTGTTTTTTGTTTGCTGTTAGTGAATTTGTGAATTTGGGCTTTTGACCCCTTCTTGGGGCTTTGGAGTGTTGATCGCCCATTGCAATTTCCAGGAAATCAACCGCAAACTTGGATCTCCAGAGCTCAAGGTCATAGCCTAATGTGTTGATGCCCAAAGTGATGTCAAGGTGTCAGCCAAACCTCCCTCCTGCCTAAGTCTTCCGCAGACAGGTCGCTGAAGATTCTGCCGCAGAAACCTTGCCGGTGGATAGCCCAGTTTCGGAGTAGCATCCAGTTTCATCACAAAAATTCTAACATGGTGTTTAAAATAGAAACCTATTTAGAAACCAATATATTTATTATAGTACATGGCATGGTCCAAAGCCGTGTCCAAGAATCTCATCCTTTTGAAAAATATTTGAACCGGTTTTGCCAAATGAGGCCACAGACTCTCAACTTGCTGAAGCAGGAAGGCCCCTTGGAAAAGCTCCGGAACCACTAGCTGTACTTGGGCTGAATTGTATGCTTGTATCTTCACATGAAAAAGATATTCCGGTTGTTGGATGTTGTTGGTGTCACTTGATCCAAAAGACCAGTTTTAATGGTAGGTTTGACTTCTACTTTTAAATTGCATTTTGCTTCTTTGCAGCAATGAATCAAACAGTGTTTTCCTTAGGCAGCCCCTACTGAAACCTCAGTGGTCGCTGTGCCAGAGACACCGACTGCGAGTGTATTGACTCCTGCCACTCCTCTCCCATCGCCTACTACCCCATCAAAGTCTGAAGTTTCTGTTCCAGGAACCAGTGAAACAAAGCGTGTTCCAGGTTTCACTCGACGCCAGGTTTGGGATTGTGAGTTTCAAGTTGTGAGTTTGAGGTTCAACATGGGTCAACCAAACCACAACAAATCACAACAGTGTTGGGCCTGAAGGTTAAAAAATGTTTCCAAATTGGTGGTATGTTATTTACATCCCATGTTCAGTCACCCATGCTGCCCTGCAGATGCTTCTCCGACGAGCTGCAAAGGCACGCATTAGCAGGATGGTTGCACCGAAAGTCAGGAGGAAGGACTTGTCTTGCCCTGAGTATGTCAAGCAGGAATGGGAAAATGGCGACCGGAATGCTATGGCAGACTTACTTCAAAAGGTCAATTGGCAGAAGGACCCCATACAAAGCTTCCAATATCATGACATATCATGTCTCATTGTGCATTGTCTCCACATTTTATCAAATAGACTGTCAACCCTCAATCATCATCGCAGGACGAGTTTTGCAACCAACTTTTGGTGTTGGTGAAAAGAAAAAAGAAAGTAGAACTGACTATCGACGAGGGCTGGCACAGCGAAGCTGATATGCGGGAGCTTGGTTGGTCTACGTCTTTGTCTCAGAATTTCAAAGTACTGTACCAATGACACACTTGACACGTTAACTTCAGCTATACTCAAAATAGTGCAGTCAGTGTTGAGTTTACGTGGGTGCCTTTGTTTTGTGTTCATTCTCCCAAATGCTGACTATATACATCTTACTACTCTTCACATTGAGGGCAAAGATAGCGGGAGCCAAGAGCAAGTGCATCGCCCTGGGATCCACCCACACCAGGCCTGGGAGAGACCCACATTGGCTCACTTCCAAGTGTCTGCCTGGTGCAGGCGGAATGCGTATGATGGAGAAATGGAGTTTTGGATCATCACCCGGGAGGTTGGCAAGAGGACCGAAGAATCAAGTTACGAAGAAGAACATTCCAAGCGGATGAAGGCTTGATAACATTTTGAAACATTCAATCATGCAAAATCCACAAGTGCAATCATTGTACTGTATAGTTGATCCAATACAATCCCCATTATTGTAAATCAACAATCCCTTGTCCATGCAGGCCGAGAAAGATCCAACTTCGACCCTTGGAACTGACTTTGCTGAATTGGATGCCGCAGGGAAGAGAGACGAAAACATGAAGACAAACAAAATGGACAGACCTGAGATGACCAAGTATTTTCAGGACCAACAAGCCGATCTTGAAACCATTTATGTTTGATGTTGAAACAGTTGAAAGGTACACGTGGTTGTTGTTTCGTTTCAGAAGTGTGTCCTTCAAATCAAACCGTGCTCCCTGTTCCAGACAAAAGAGAGCCTGAAAAAGTTTCTCCAGTCCATGGTGAGCAAGTCCGGGAAGCTACGGGCTTTGGTTCGTGATCTCAAGAAATCTTATGAGGAGAGTGCCATTCAGAAGTTCCCTGACAGAAATCTTCAACATGATATCTCAAGTCACAAAATATATCCAAATATATGGATCTACTTTCAAAGATCGGGAAACCATGATGATTCGCATTTCTTTGTGCAATGATTATAAGATTATTTTTCGGCTCCTGATATATTATCCTGTGGTTGTGCACATGTTACATTTATCCCAGTTGTTGATTCCCCATCCAGCCTCCACCGCGTAGCAATCTGCAGGTGCGTTGACACCTTGAACAAGGACATCGCTGAAGTTGACAAACACTATGATTTGTGCAATGATGCGTGGGCCAAAGGGGAAGTAGATGACTTCACTGGTGAAAAGCCCCTGGGACTTTAACTTTCTGAAATCCAAGTCAATCAATTATGAGGTTTGGTATTGGCATCCAAGACAAACCAATTAATATGATGTTATTTTTCCTTTTGTTTCCATCTCAGGTGGTATACCAAAGCCGAAGAAGCAATGAAGAATGCGACCTTCGTGTCTCCTGCTTATTTAAAGAAAGTGGACAATGCCAAAATCTCTCAAAGTTCAATTGTGTTACAACAAACTGTTGCATATACTTGAGGTGTTCGAAAGCCACTGCAAACGAAACCAAGATCAGGACACCAGTATATCAATCAACCATGGTTTTTGGCATCGCATGTGGGGCCCAGCATATGTGTCATACTCGGAGTTTCTCTTGTTGCAGGAATGCCAAGAAGTACTATGAGAAGAAGCAGGATGGTGACGCTGATGACACCAGCCCCTCTGGCAGGGCGCCAAAGACTGAGAAAGGTGAGAAGGTCAAAAAAGAGAAGACAAAGTCAAAGGTCAAGAAGGAGAAGAAGACCAAGGAAAAGAAAGACAGGTAGATCTCGAAGAGACACATATCTAGGGATAGTTGCCATGGCGTAGCCTTTTTCCACACTTGTAGCTTTGCAGTTTGAGTCTAACCATTGTCAGGTGATGAAACCATTCAAAATTGAAAACAAAACGCACTGAAACAAACAAACTTTTGACATGATTTTCTTTTGCAGAGCTATATGTGTGCCTGGCTCTTTAGCTAGCAACTTTGAGGGGATTCCCCACTTTGCGGAGTGCTAATCCAAATTTCGACTTTTGATCTTCGAATGCTACAATGGGGTCAAAAAAGGACGCTGCATGCTGGCAGTTCCCACATGGTTTAGAAAGAAAACAATCACACAATTCTGATCAAAATCAACCATGTATATAATATGATTATATATGTCTATAAAGATTTTACTGGATGACTATAATAGGGGAAACCACACCATTCCACACGGAGCGGCCCCACGGCAGCCAGGTGCCCCAGCTGGGCGCATTGTTCGAGGGATGAGCAAGTCCATCGGAGAAGGGGCTGTAACCTCAGATGTTGGGAAGTTTCAGTTGAACCAACCAATTCCCAACCCACAAGTGGTACTGGTTGGGCCTACCAGTTTAATGGGTTTGAATGGCATAGTATATGTTTTCAACTGCTGTGATTTTTTACCATCTCAAGGATCCGTATTGAAACTGTACAGGGATGCATGAACGTTCCCAGCGAACATGGCGAAACACCTGAAGATGAACTGTTTGAACTTTTGAGTTGTCATCGCTCAGACTCTTGCCTTTCATTGGCAAATATTTGGTTTCCCAAAATAATTTATGGGAATGTGTAATTCTGTGTAATATAGTACATATCGTATACTCCGTTTGTAATATGTTCCAACTTATGTCCAAACAGGATGAACAATTTCCATATCCTTGGGGGACGCGACCATTGCCTTCACCTACATCGGCTTCCACCAATGCTGTTGAACGGAAGAGGGGTGCCCCACTTATTTCAGAAAACGAATTGCCTCAGAAAAAAATGGATCTGTGCTGTCAACTGCAATCGCCCAGATTGAATGATTTGGTTTCTCAGTGTGAAACCCTGGGGTGTATTTCCTTGAAGCTCTGCAAAGATGTTTTCAATGCATCAGCTGGCACAATTCTTCACCATTCGATTCGGGTCCTGGAAAGCCTATTTACGCGAGAAGAACCATTGATTTTTAAGGTGGGGTTTTCCCACAATCCGGTTTGGAGATGGAAAAATGAAATCTATGGTTACGTTAAAGCCCGGGAGAAATGGTCAGATATGATCATTTTACACTATGGGAAAGAACCCTTCACTGCGGCGATGCTTGAAGCGGCCCTCATCGAAAAATATAAAGGCATCTATGTTGCAATATGTTTATTTAATTTTTGTCATTTTATATTTTTATTTTTGTGTTTACGATGGTGCCCACTACCATGAAAACAATCATATATATGAAAAAAACCATTCAATACTTCCCAGTCAAGGCAGACCCGGGTGTAAGAACATCAAAGCGGGTGGTGACACGGTGATGCCCGAGCTGGACACTCCCAACAGCCGTTACACTACATATGTCGTGTACAGATCCTTTCGGACACCTCCGCCGATCAAACCATTGGCCCATGGAGGTTGCCGCCCTTAGGTTTCACAATTCCCTAAGGTGTCTTCAAGTTACCGGGGGGATGGCCATGGAAAAAAGAACAGAGTTATGATTTTGACCAACAAGAGCCAAAAAAAACATTCATATAATATGGATACATAATTGTCATCTCAACTAGACTGACACTGGCTCCTTGCAAGACCTTCCTTGCAAATTTGCAAAACAACCACCCTCCACACACACACACTCACACATGTTCTCCTGGTTTTAACTTTCAATTGAAAGTTTTGCGCCGTGTTTGCCGAGGCCTCTTGCGCTGCAGCTGTCCGGGCAGCTCAAGACATTGTGGCGGATATAGGTGTGGAAGCAGCTTCACGGTCCGGAGGTCTTTTGGAGCTTTCTAGAAAAAGGCCCAAGAATGGAGAAAGGGATTGCCAGCACTTGATGGCCAAGAAACTTCGCCTGTCACTTCCCATAGCCCAGCACTACTTGGATACAAAAGATGACTCGTTGAAACTGCCTTTTCTTCGCTTCAGAGATTGGTTGAGTTTCCTCTTGAAGCACAACTGCCTACACATTTTGTGTGGGCTGGTGAAGCCCAATCCAGACCGGCAAGGTGACATCTTTGAAGCATTTTGGAGGCGGTTTGCCATCCACCATCCTGACCACCCAGTGATTCAGCGTGCTGAACGTGGAGAGATCAGTCTTCGAAGGACAGTGCCACTCCTCCTTCATGGAGATGAAGGAAGGTCAAAAAAACGTTCTCCATTTCTTGTTTGCAATCTCCATTCGCCCCTAGGTCGTGGAGTTGAAGCTGGCTTGCAGGAGGGACGTAGGAGAGAATACTTGAAGATGCTTCCCAACTTTACGGGCCACAGTTACACAAACAGGTTTTTGGTTTCGTGCCTGCCGAAGCAAGATTATTGTGGGAAGAACAGTTTCGTCTTCGACATCCTCATGCAAACAATCGCTGAAGAATTACATCACTGCGCAAGTGAGGGTGTGCAACATGAGGGCCAGCGCTACTTGGCAGTGTGCATTGGCATTGTCGGCGATTGGCCGTGGCTTTGCAAAGCCGGAGGGCTACAGCGCAGTTTCATGAATGTCAACAAGCACAAAGAGGATGCTGGTGGACGCAGGCGGTCAGAGTGCCGTGGTGTCTGCCATTTGTGCAGAGCGGGGCAACCTGATTGGCCTTATGAACAAATAGGGTCAAGAACGCCACTCTGGGAGGCAACAATGCTGACACAGTCTCCGTTTCAGGGGCCATGTTGCCTTGAAATCATTCCGCACTGCCCTGGAAAATTTCCAGATATGTTCAAGTTTGACGTTTTCCACACGTGGCATTTGGGAGTGGGCAAAAACTTTTTGGGAGGAATGTTGGCTCTGCTGAGTGAACTCGAAGATGGTTCCAATGTTGATGTTCGCTTTGAACAGCTGAGTGCGCGATACAAGGCATGGTGTCGTCAAAATGGGAAGACAGCCTACTGCCAACGCATCACCAAGGAGCACTTGAACTGGATAAGCAAGAGTCATTACCCCACTGGAAGCTGGCACAAAGGAGACCTCACCACTACTTTGATGCTCTGGGTTGAATCCCGGTTCCATGCAGAGCAGTGGCAAGATGAGATGCTGGCGTTGGCCGGGCAGGCTGCTGTGGCAATCAACAAGGCCGTACGGTTGATGTACACTTCTGGCGCTTGGATGGAGCAAGCTACGGCCCGGGAATGTGCAGACTTGGGTTTGCGCTTTTTGAGAAGATACAACAGCCTGGCTTTGCTGGCACATGCTCAGAACAAAAGATTGTGGCTGGTGATGCCGAAGGCACACGCATTACACCATCTTTTTTTGCACCTTTTGCAGCAATCCAATGTTGGCCGCTGCTTTAATTTGATTTGCACTTCGGTACAGCAAGATGAAGATCTCATAGGGCGCAATTCAAGACTTAGTCGACACGTTAGCACATTGACTTGTGCACAGCGTGTTATGGAGAGGCATTTGCAAGCCTGTTATGCTCAGTATGTTGAAGCTGGGTACTTGGTGTCAGTTGGGTCCAGTTGATACATTTTTTGTTCTACATGGCCATCCCCCCATTTAAAAAATATGGTGAATTTAAAACCCTTCTTATGGTTTGATTCACCTTGGGACTGGCCAACTGACTCCCTGCAGCTGATGGACAAGCATCTTGGCCTCGACCTCCGTCAAGTTGAGCCAGCTTTGGCAGCGCCACCGGGGAAGAAAATTGATGAAATTTCAAAACCCTGGGTTTTGGATAGAAACCCTGGGTTTACTGGTCCACCTTGCGAATTCTTCAGGTTTTGAGGCCTAAGGTATATATATAAATAGATAGATAGGTATATCTTAGACTACCTCTGGGAAGGTTTTCCTTGGCCCGCCCGGCCATTTAAACATACGGAATCCCATTTATTTAAACATACGGCAGCTACATTTAAATGCACGAACTGAATTCATACTACCTCCGGGGCCTCGCGGTCTGGCCCGCCCCCCACATATTTAAATTTCGTTACCGTAAATAAAATATAGACTATATTGAAATTATATAATCATAAATCAATACCAAAGTAACACCAGTAGTACCGCGCAAGGCGGTGGCGGAAGTTTCAAAAATAGGAAACCTAAAGGAGAGCTTGGTTGTTGTGAATCATGGATGGCAGAGCGAATCAACTCATGGACCGAAAGGCGGTTGGAGTTGTGTTTTTTGGAATGGTTTCACTAACTTAAGAATGCATCCCAGATCGTAAGGTATTAGTTTGTAGGGATTTGCCCGTTCATGACTTTCAGAAATGCCTACCTGATCTCAGAAATGCCTAGGTGATTTGAAAATGACATAGGCATTTCTGAAATTTAGGTAGGCTAATCTGAAATTTGGTAGACTAATTTGTTGTCAAGAACGTTGTGCAAACAAATGTGGTTTCATATTTTTACAAAATATTTAAAAAAAAGACAAAATATTTTCAAAAAGATAAAATCTAAAATATGGTAAAACGTTGATTGAACGTTTACCTGCTCACGATGCTAACACGTTGTGATTACGTTGGCCAGCTCAGTGTGCAGCTGAGTCATTTGTGTCAATTGTATGAACTGATGAGAGAAACTGGGCATGGATTTGACCTGTTTAGCATGGAAATTATGATTGCATGAACCACGTATGGTCCATCCATTTTCCATTTTTATCACCAAAATGGAATCACACCTTAACTTCGAGGCCTTAACTTCGAGCCTCAGGGTTGTCAATTTTGTCCTTGTTTGTTATTTGTTTGTCATGTGCTGTCATTGTTGTCATTTTTGTGATCTTTTGTTGTCTTAAAACAATGAGTATCGATGTTGCTCCCAGAACATAAATGTCCCTTGTCAAAACACATAGATTTTGTTTAATTTAATATAATATTACTTATTAGGTTTGCATTTTCAAGCTTGCCTAAGAGTCAGGTATGCAAAATGTAGTGGTTATTTCCAGTACGAGTGTCGTGTAAAAGTGTCCCAGAAGAGTGTCACAAAATCATAGCGGGAGCGCCGCTCATTTATGGACACAGCCTGCCACTAATTTACGGACATAGCCTGCCACTAATCTATGGACATTACCTTCCAGTAATTTTTGGACATAACCTGCCACTACTTTCTGGACACAACCTGCCAAGATTTTATCGACATAACCTGCCACTAATTGATTGGCATAGCAACTAATCTATGGGCATAACCTACCACTAATCTACAGACATAACGCCGACCCCGGATGGATCAGTCAACTCGGGCAGCAGTGTCTTGCGAGAGTGTCCACACCACAAGGTTGTCCCACAGGCTGCCACTAATTTCTGGACATACCCTGCCACTAATTGTACGGACATAACCTGCCATTAATTTATGGACGTAACTTGCCACTAATTTGTGGGCATAACCTGCCACTAATTTATGGGCATAACTTGCCACTAATTTATTAATAGCTTCCCTTACCCCATTGTGTCACCCCCTTGTCTGTCAGAAGGGACGTCTTCATCCACTCCGCCGGGAGCCTTTAGGAGGGTTACAAGATTTGTTTTTATATATTTATTATTTAGGATCCTTTTTCTGCAGTGTAGGATTTTTGTTCTTGGCATCCAGGTTCGTGGCTTCACTTGGTTAGCTAATACGGTTGTCTGCATCCTCACTTCATCTGGCCGTTGCCACTGTAATGCGTGTAGCGACAGAAGGGGGAGCTAGGATGATGAGGGGAGCGAAAGAACGAATAAGCAGACCCTCACACCCTAGAAACATCCTTCACGAAAAGGTTGAAAAAACTGTTTTCGTTTTATTGCTCAAGTGACGACGGCGACAGTGGAAGGAACAGCACTTGGAGTGCAAAGAGTGGCAAATCTTAGGCGACGCAATTTTTTCATCCCTAAACTCTATAAATGGCACTTAGGGACACTAAATTTAGCATACCTCACTTCTAGGCAAGCCTAAACATGCATACCTAAACTCCATTAATTCCATTTAGGCACACTAAATTTAGCATACCTCACTTTTAGGCAGGCACTCTTGCCACGATACTCTTGTGGACACTCTCGCGAGACACTGCTGCTCCAGTTGACTGATACATCCGTGGTCGGCGTTAAGGCCACAAATTAGTGGCAGGTTATGCCCATAAATTAGTGGCAGGTTACGTCCATAAATTCTTGGCCGGTTATGTCCATAAATTAATGGCAGGTCGCGTCCATAAAGTATTGGCAGGTAATTTCCATAGAATAGTGGCAGGTTATGTCCATAAATTAGTGGCAGGCTATGGGACACTCTTGCGGGACAGCAAGAAACTCTTGCCACGACACTCTTGTGGACACTCTTGCAAGACACGGCTGCCCCGCTTGACAGATCCACCCGGGTTCGGCGTGATGCCCATAGATTGGTTGCAGGTTATGTTCATAAATTGGCAGGCTACGTCGGTAAATTTCTGGCAGGTAATGTCCATATTCGTGGCAGGTTATGTGCATAAATTAGTGGCAGGTTGTGTCCATAAATTTAGGGCAGATTATGTCCATTAAATAGCAACACTTCTGCTATGATGCTATGACACAGTTTTGGGACACTCTGACAAGACGCTACTACTGGAGATGAGCGCTAAATTGAGCATACCTGACATGCAGGCAGGCACTCTTGCCACGGCACTCTTGTGGACACTCTCGCAAGACACTGCGGCTCCAGTTGACTGATCCATCCGGGGTTGGCCTTGTGTCCAAAAAGTAGTGGCAGGTTATGTCCATAGATTGGTGGTAAGTTATGTCCATAAATTAGTGGCAGGTTCTGTCCATAAATTAGTGGCAGGGTATGTCCATGAATTACTGGCAGGCTTCGAGACATTCTTGTGGGACAGCAAGGAACTCTTGCCATGACACTCTTGTGGACACTCTTGCAAGAAAATACTATTGGCCCAGTTGATAGATCCACCCGTGGTCGCCGCTATGTTCAAAAATTAGTGGCAGGTTATGTAAAGTTTCGTATATATTTGTTTCCCACGCGCAGCGCGTAATATTTTTTCCGGCTTACTCCTTTTTTATTTTCCAAACGTTTTTTCCAGGTTGCAACCTTCAAGCGCGGAAAATTTTTTTCTGTAAGTATTCACGCTACGGTACTATGAGCAAAAACAGTGTTTCATGAAACTTTCCTGTAAGCATTCACGCTGCGGTACTATAAGCAAAAACAGTGTTTCATCAAACTTTTCTGTAAGTATTCATGCTGCGGTACTATAAGCAAAAGCACCATTTCATCAATTTTTTTTGTAAATATTCACATCTGTTTGCTTTCGGTTTCAAAAAGTTTGCAACAGCGTTACATTTTTTCATGCCTTTGGCACTGTCAGCAACTACCAGTTTGCTTCAAAATGTCTCAATCTGTCCCAATATGTCTCAAAATGTCTCAAAATGTCTCAAAATCAACTCAATTTTTCTCAAAACTCATTTTGAGACATTTTGAGCAATTTTGAGCAATTTTGAGCGGATTTTTGGGGCAGGTATGAGACATTTTGAGACATTTTGAGTTGATTTTGAGCAATTTTGAGCGGATTTTTGGGGCAGGTATGAGACATTTTGAGACATTTTGAGTTGATTTTGAGCAATTTTGAGCAATTTTGAGCAATTTTGAGCAATTTTGAGCGATTTTGAGCGGAATTTGTTCGGCCAGCAATTTGTATATTTGAATAGTCCTTTCAGTCTACATGTCATTCCTGCACAATTGGAACTCGCAAATTATGGAGATTGAAGCTAGATCGTAACGTTTTTGCCCATTTTATTTTAATACTTGGGAGGGGGGGACGAAAGGTAGGGGGGGAAAAGACAGGAGGGAGAGGCAAGAGAAGGTGCGACTGTTTGTAACGCAAGCACGCCGACGACGACGACGACTACTACTACTACGACTACTACTACTATGACGACTACTACTACTATGACGACTACTACTACCACTACTACTACTACTACTACTACTACTACTACTATGAGGACTACTACTACTACTATGAGGACTACTACTACTACTATGAGGACTACTACTACTACTATGAGGACTGCTACTACTACTACTATGAGGACTACTACTACTACTACTACTATGAGGACTACTACTACTACTACTACTATGAGGACTACTACTACTACTATACTACTACTACTACTATGAGGACTACTACTACTACTACTACTACGACTACTACTACGACTACTACTACTACGACGACGATGACGACGACGACGACTACTTCTACTACTACGACTACTACGACTACTACTACTATGACGACGACGACGACGACGACGACTACTACTACTATGAGGACTACTACTACTACTACTACTACTATGAGGACTACTACTACTACTACTACTATGAGGACTACTACTACTACTACTACTGCTACTACTACTATTATTACTATTACTATTACTTCTACTACTACGACTGCTACTACTACTACTACTACTACTACTACTCCTACTCCTACTCCTACTCCTACTCCTACTACTACTACTACTACTACTACGACGCCCAGGCCCCTTAAACTTTACATTCAATTG